AAAAGACCAGATTTTTTCATGCAACTGTTTCTGAGATATTGCCATTTTGGTGAAAGCTCTTGAATTCAATCATGTATTTGCCATTTTGCTTGTCCACTTTGGGGGTAGAAACATTGTAACAGCTTGCGCGTTAATGAGTTAAGACTATTAATATGAAAAAGTACCTACAATACTCTCTGATATCATTGTTGCCGCATCATCCCGTCATTCACACTATACCAGATTTGTTAGTAACTATAATATTATTAGACCAAAGGTAAGAACTAATTATGGAATTCAAACGTTCGCATTCACTTCATCAAAAATTTGGGAAAGTATATAGAAACTAGTCTTAAAGAGTCTTACTCGATACTTCAATTTAAGAAGAAATATAGTCAAATCTTATTAATTTCACAATAGTATTACAAAATCTCTTTTTCTAAGGCCAGGATGACACATGGTCTGTGACATTTACATTTTTTTTTTTGAATTCATTACAAACTGTAGGCAGTGCCCAACTCGAAAGCTTCCAGCTACTTTGGACACTGCACAAGACTCACTTTCTATAAAAATTCACTTTTTCTTCATCATATATATAACTATATTATTATGTAAATTTAATGTAATGTGTCAATTGTAAGCTTGTTTTCTCAATAAATCTGTAAATGGACCTGTACTGTAAAACTTTGTATGATTTACCTTTGATCCAAGGGCTGGGGTCATAACAGAATGGAAATAATTTTCTTCTAAGGAGCAAGAGGGCACTATGCAATGACAGAGACTTTTGGCAGTGGTTTACCAGGTGTATTGCCTTCAGGAGCGAATGGCCGCTTTACACTTGCTCGTGAATCTGCCTGAAAATGTGACAACTTTCAGTAAAAAATGAATGTATTTAAGCTTGGGGAGCATTTTGGAGCATTGATATAATTGGTTTAATCTATATTTTTAGTTATTATTTCTGGAAATCTTAATGCGATAGATTAAGTTTTGAGTCTGCTATGACAAGGACAAATCAATCAGTCGAAAGACTATTCAATGTTGTATACGGCACGTGATACAAGACGAAGCCTTCAAAAACCATTTTATATATAATAAAATAAAACACAGAACAAACATTTAACCTAATAGATAGTCTATGTTACTAAAACAAATGGAAAAATATGAGTTAAATGATTTTTAAATTGATTTTTAAATTGAATATTGAATTATGAGTTAAAATGATTTTTAAATTAACCCCAAATAGGTAATAAAAGTAAATATATATTTCGCTTTGCACATATTACCTATTTATCTATATAATAGTTTCTTGTTTAATAAAATCTATAAATCTCCATTTGTAATAATTTGTTTATTTGTAATGCATCATTTGTAATGATGTGTTTATTGCGTTTAGCTATATAAAGTTTACTGCACTTGAAATACCGCTGACTTGTATGTATTGCAGTTTCAGATTTATTTATTTAATTTATTTAAAAACTGATTTGACATCAGAAATTTAAATGACATCAGAAATTTACAAAATTTTTATCTACTGTTAAAAAAAAGTATTAAGTTATCGTTATATTACATTATTAAGAATATTAAGAGTTCAAAAGTAGCAAAATCAATAGGCCTATACTTCTCAGTTATTTACTTTGGAAATAATTTGAGGAAAAAATGATTTCCTAAAACGTTCAGTTCTACATAAGTAATTGTTATACTTGCATCTTGGTCGCATATCGTAGTCTGTTGTTGCTTTATGCTGCAAGAGTTTGCTTAGTTTATCGTTATTCTCATTCTTTTTAAAAAACTGTTCACATAATGTTTCTCTCCTTGCTTTTAGTAAAGGGATACCAGTAAAATTCCGGGCTTCTCTGTAACTTGTTAATGGCAACAAGATTTGCAAAGCACGCCGCTGAATCTTTTCAATGTCTTCGCTCAAATACTCTTGGATGTTATAATGCCAGACTTGGCAGGCGTATTCAAGGACAGGTCTAATAATAGTGGTGTACACAGTGATTAACGTGTTCGTATCCGTGTTTGATCGTTTCAGCACTCTCAGCATGTAGAGTCTTTTTCCTGCTTTTTTTACAACATTGTTTACGTGTTCGTTCCAATTCATATTATCCTGAACAATTAGTCCCAGAACCCGAGCTGATGATACATGGTCGACTCTACAGCAACGCCATTTATAATTAAAGGTGGGAATTCCTGTTCATCTTTTGCAAAGTCTATTATCAATTCTTTGCATTTACTGATGTTCAGTTTCATATTGTTAATGATGGTCCAATTGTAAAGAGTATCCACAAGTACTTGGAGAATGCTATTGATATCCGGTGTAATACTTTCAGTGATAGTACTATCATCGACATATTTCCATCTGTTATTCCAGTCTATGAGAACGTCTTTTATCATAACAACAAAAAGTATTGGCCCAAGAACTGTTCCTTGTGGCACACCTCCGTTTAAAGTTTGCCAATTTGATACACAGTTAGCTATCTTGACGTGTTGTTTGCATTCAAAAAGGAAACTTCGAATCGAATTTGTAATTGTCGATGGTACCTTCATTTCATATAACTTGTACAGTAGGATGTTGTGATCTATAACATCGCAAGCTTTCGAAAAATCGAACAAAAAAAACATTACAGCGGTTTTTGATGTATCAGTTTCATATAACAGGTGATGAACGAAGCTTAATAGGGCATGGGTTGTCCAGGAATTTTTTAAAGAACCAAATTGTCGTCTATCAATCTTTTCCTTAATATACTCTAGTAGCCAATCGGTAACAAACTGTTCACAGGTTTTAGACAGGGTAGGTGTAAGCAAAATGGGGCGAAGATCTTTGGTGATGTCCTCAAGCAAAGCTATCTTTGGAATTGGGATGGCATTGGCTTTTTTTCCACATGGTCGGAACAGTCGCTTGTTGGATGGAAGCATTAAAAATTGATGCAACAGGGGAAGCAAGTACGTAAGCGTAGAACTTCAGAACCCAGCTTGGTATTCCATCTGGACCAGGAGATTTAGCAGTTGATATAATGGATAATTTATGTATACCTCTTCTTCTTTAATGATAAACTCTGGTGGAATGTCATAAAGGCTGTTTTCTGGTAAAATGTCGATATGAAGACAATTTAAAGGAGGGATTTCTTTGGTAACTGAAACAAAAGCGTCATTAATATTTTCGGCCAGGGCTTTTCCTGACATCACCTGATTTCCCACGACAAGAGTTGAAAGGAATTTCTTCTTAGGATATCCTGATAACTGTTTTATTGATTGCCACCACTTTTTTGGGTTACGGTTTAGCTTTAACTGTTCCAACTTTTTCTCATGAAATGTGGATCTGAGCTTCTTACTTTCTCTGTTTACCTGATTTCGTAACTGGTGATAATGTGGACCTTTTCCATGATGGAATGCCTTTTGTCCAGTTTCGGTAATTTTCTTAAATTCAGGAGTAACCCAAGGTTTGTCGTTATCATGTAATTTTACAGTTTTTATCGGAAGGAAACAATCCAATCCGTCATTTATGGTGTCTTGGAAAAGGTCTCATTTTTGTTCACAAGAAATAGTGCGGTATAAAATGGTCCAATTAAAATCGGTTAACCACTTTCCAAAAGCAGTTTTTCCAGCATTATTTACCTGTCTGATTTTTACTTTTGTGTGGGTGTTTTTAGTTGAACCTTCCTTATATGAGCATAACACTGAATTGTGGTCGCTGCAGCCAACCGGTGGGATTACCAAGGGGATGTTACAATAGTTACAATTAAATCCAAAATAGCATTCCCTCTCGTAGGCTGTTTAACAATCTGTTTTAAAGTAAAATGTCTGAGTATTGTGGAAACATTTATTAAAATCCCCAACTAATATTATGCCAGCATTTGGGTACATGGAGAGGGCCACATCAAGCTTTATGGTAAGGTGTTCGATTAGTGTGTTGTTGTCGCTGGATGGTAAACCACACAGACAACCAAACATGAGAATCCTCGGAACAGTTTGTGAGGTCTCAGGTAAAGCCATAGAGTTTCGAAGCAAACATTTTGCAAACAAGTTAGAATTTTAAAGGGAATCTGTGACTTTATATAAGCACACACCCCTCCTCCAGTCCTAGATTTTCTATCACGATGCATCAAGGAGTAGCCATGTATTTGAACTGCGGCATCGTCAATGTTTTCGTTTAGCCATGTTTCTGTGACAAAAGCCAAACTGGCATGATTTAATTTAAGAGTAGCATCTAATTCGTCAACTTTTGGCAGAAGTGATCTGACATTTGAAAGGAAAAATGATAGTGGGTATCTTTGGGCATTTGGGCAACCCTGGTCTCCAATTTTTATGGTTCAATATAGGAATTCTTATCAAATTTTCCGTGGTTACAAACCTTTCGTTTGTGTGTGCAGGGGTAATGTTTAAATGATTATGCAAGTTAATTTGCCGTCTAGTTGTCCAAACTGGGATATTATTTGTTCTAGGTATTTGATCAGCTATGGGGTCAGTATATGAAATGCTTTGTCGGTCGTACTGCTCTATGGATGTGTGGGGTGCATCAAACGATTGACCAGATTTTCCTGTCTGATGGGTGGTAATTCTGGTAAAAGGAAGGGAAACTACATCAATGGTGGGGGGTAAGGGGGTACTTGGGGCGTCGTATGGTTTGACAAGCATTAGGTTGAATTGAGAATAAAAAGGACGATAGTGTTGGTTTCGATTTAAACTTGGATGTAGAAAATCACAATTGCGCTGGTTTCGTTCAAAATTTGGGTGAAGGAAGTCGCAATTTTCGCCTTTGAGACACCAACCCCTTCGTGACAGGAAAGGACAAGGAACGGTATTTTTGGTTGGTTGGTTGGCATGATGTTCCCGTGCCTTAGAATGTGTTTCTACATTTATAGTTGGAATTGGGTGAAGGAAGTCACAATTTTTGCCTTTGAGACACCAACCCCTTCGTGACAGGAAGGGACATGGAATGGTATTTTTGGTATGTTGGTTGACTTGATTTTCCCGTGCTTTAGAATGTGATTCTACATTTGTAATTGAATCTGTTGTGCTAGTTATTTTATCAAGACAATCACTTTTTTCACTTGAGTGATTTTTGTCTGCCAAATTAGAATATTCAAATGGGGTTCCACAATATGACCGTTGCATAACATATAAATTTCTTTCTTGCAATATTCAAGTTGTTGACTAAAATCGGCAAATTCAGCGTTTATTTTGTTAAGGCGTTTCTCAACATTCTTTATAATATCTTTGTTTATAAGAATATCCCTTTCTGCAATTGTTATGTCGAGTTTAGCGCCTTCAAATTCGACAGACAAGATTTGTGTTGTGAGGGGGGAGACGCCATTTTCATCACTTGTAGTTGTAGCTACAGCTTCGTTTGTCACTATGTTAGTCTGTACGCTACATATCAATGAACATAGCTTTGCAATTATTTGTTTCTTCTCTTTACCTTCAATTTGTAGAATTTTCTTACTTTTTCGCCATAACATAGATGTAGAACCATCACTATATACTTTTTGTCTCCTCCCAGTGAAATCCAATTGCCGTCGTTTAATTTGATATTTTCGTTCACGAAATGTTTTAGTTGTTCAATATTTCCAGTCCAGCACAACTGGAGTTCACTCGTCATATTATAGTAAGATATTATAAAATTTCTGTCATAAAATTGGAATTTTACGGAGCCACTAGACCGTCTCGCCTACACACTTACACATGCACACATCCTACCATATGTACAGTATCTTGTCTATGATCTAGTGCCGACCTAAGAAATGTGACAAGGGATGAAATTACAACACGGCAATGTTTTATTTTGAAGCAGTATGTGCTTGTTAAAACGAATTTTAGCTTGAAATTCGACCCCATGATATGTCTAAGGCTAAAGTACATAGCCATTGAAAAATTTTGTGAAATAAAAGCCCTACAGGGTGTATCAAAAAAAGTAAGACAATTTTGAAATTGCTCTCAATTCCACAATTCTGTTCATGAAATGTAATTTTTGCTATATATGGATTGCTTGAGTTCTTAAATTATGGAAAATATAAAAAATTTTGTAAATAGTAAATTTTGCTATTCAGGGTGGTGGTCAACTTTTGCTCCCCTAAAAGTGGCTTGCGCACGGAAATGACAAACGGTATTCTTTATTTGAGTTCATGTGTGAAAAGTTTGCTATTTGTTGCATTTATGATAAAATTTCGGCAGGATTTCACCGAGTACAAATCCTCCTAAAAGCCTGTGAAAATGTTACATTTTTCTCCGTTGGTGCTGTTCTTGCTTCATTATGAATTCATTTTTACTCCCATGAGAGTTCCATGGAATTTCCATGGAATTTGTGCTTTCGAGTTGTTTGTGCTGAAACGCATTTTCTTGTATAATACCCCGTACACTTTCAAATGGCGATGCCACAATTTACCCCGCAGCAGAGAGATTTTATGGCATCAGAGTTCCTCCGTAGCAACAACATAAACTTGGTTCATCAAAAGTTTCACGAAAGAATATACAGATGTACGATGCCCTTCATGTGCGAATATGTGAAGGGCATCGTACATCTGGATATTCATTCGTGAAACTTTGGTGAACCAAGTTTATGTTGTTGCTACGGAGGAACTCTGATACCATGCATAAGAGCTCTCTCCTGCTGGGTAAATTGTGGCATCGCCATTTCAAAGTGTACGGGGTATTATACGAGAGAATGCGTTTCAGCACAAACAACTCGAAAGCACAAATTCCATGGAAATTCCACAGAACTCTCATGGGAGTAAAAATGAATTCATAATGAAGCAAGAACAGCACCAACAGAGAAAAATGTAACGTTTTCATAGGCTTTTCGGAGGATTTGTACTCAATAGCGTTTGTACTAACAAATAGCGAACTTTTCATACATGAACTCAAATAAAGAATACCGTTTGTCATTTCCGTGTGCAAGCCACTTTTTTTAGGAGAGCAAAAGTTGACCACCCCCCTGGATAGCAAAATTTACTATTTTCAAATTTTTTTATATTTTCCATAATTTAAGAACTCAAGCAATCCATACATATAAAAAATTACATTTCATGAACAGAATTGTGGAATTGAGAGCAATTTCAAAATTGTCTTACTTTTTTTGATACACCCTGTAGAGTCTTATAAATTGCTATAGTTTTTAATAGCGACGTTTCGTTAATGCCCCGACTTGACTGGACCTAATGCAACCTCGCAAGCCAGGGTCTTTTACCTGCGCTTGGGTTCCGGCGAAGACGCTGGTTCCCTCTGGTCACGTGAACTCCTAAAAATTAGGGCAACAAGAGGTCCTAGGGGAGGGTGGTTGAAATGTGATATGTTGTAATTTACAACTTCCGGTTAAATGTTGTGTTTGCAAGGCCCGCCGAGGAGTGACAGTAAAGCTATGACAAGTGACTTCAACTGTAATATGCAAAAACATTCAAGATGTATTATTTTTCTTATTTGTCTGCAGTTTTCTATTATAAATATTTTGTATGCAAACACTATTTTGAAGCCCAAGCAGGTTATTTGCTTGGAAAAGCTGTCCTTTGGTGTGTATATACTGGCAATTTTTCCAACCGGCAATATGGCGAGTCGCTGATTTACCAGCTTTTGCCTTTGATGCTTTTCACTAAAAGAGCATTAGAAGAACATCCAACTCATGGCGTTTGTGTGTAAATGAGTAATGCTGTTCGTTACAGTATATCGCAAACGCGCCTTTGATAAACAATCCAGCTCGAAAATTATGTGTGATAAAACTCAGAGATCAGCAATAAGTTTTCAGCAGCCATTAAAATGTGACAACGAAGAGATTGATTGCGATGTAGCTGAACTCGAGGCTGAACTTGACCAAATGACAAAACTAATTCTTCGTACATGTTATTTTTCAATCATTCATTATATTGTTATCTCAATTTTGTTCACTTTATGCCAAACGCAGTATATTGTGTGTTGTATTTCATAACATACCAGTCGTTATTGCATGACTGCTACAGCATATAAACTTGACCGAAGGCACATAAAAGAATCACTTGGCTTGCATAATTGCTTTGAGTTGGTTGCAAATTCTGACCGAAAGAATATCTTTTACGAAAAAGCATTCAGATACAGGCACTGATATTGATGCCTTGGAGGACATTTGCAGACCAATTTATGCTGTAGTGTATGCAAAACACAATGTTTATGTGTTGAGTGTGGTTTAGATATGGAAAGGGAATGATTTTACCTGATCAGACAAATATTTTTGGGCCTGTGAAATATTCTTGACTTTGTACCAAATGAACACACAATTGATCACAAATGTGAATTTTGTTGAACTCAGTTTTTTTAAAGTGGGCACAAGTTGCACTATGTTCACACTCTCTCATATATATGTCATCATTTGCATATATAAACTCAATTTACTTCATGGACAGTATAAAACCCCATACAGCAGTGCCAGAACAAAATTCTAAATTGAATATATGTATATATAACTGTAACCATACAGCTATTTCAATTGAAGTTGTCACAGACAATAGTCAGATAATATGAGTACTAAATGAATAATGGGAATTATGATAGTTTTCAATAAGTTTAACACCTAAAATATATTATGAATATACCAATTCAATTTGTATTCGCATGAGGCTATTGCTGTGTTAAAATAGTATCTTTTTTAGCGTTCAATTGTACATTTAACTATTGTCTGTGACACTAACCTTAATTGGAAAAGCTGCATTATAATATAGGACAAGTGCAAATTGTGCATCTATTAATCCTTTCAAGCTAGAGTAGTCTTGGTAGCCTGTGCTACAGCCATACAAATCATTGTTGCTTATTCGTGCAAGTGTTACAGTATTCACAGTCATAATTCATCTTCTGATGTGTCCACTGGTAGCGACAATTTGTCTATAATGTTGCTCATGTATCTGATGATATATCTGTGAAGAAACCTTCATGAAAGTGATTATATACCGTATTGTTGATTGCAAATGGTTTAAATTCCAAAAGATCAGATAAAGTAATATTTTCTCCGAAGATTTGTGCTTGTGAGAGGATGCCTTTAATTCCTACAGCTATGTCGAAGTTGTTTATCATTTCTGCAGATCGATATCCCTCCACGGCTCATGTCGCTGTACTTTAATATTAAACATTGGATTGACTTCACTGTCTTGCCGGTGTTTTTTTGGCCCCATTCTTTTAATTTAATGTTAATTTAGGAAGATTAGAAAATCCGTCATCGGTCATCACACGCAAGAGTTCCACAATTAACAAATTCTGCGATACGAAGCAGGTTTTTATTTAGCTATTCATGCAGCTAGCTCTAAGAATAGGTTGTTGCAATACTTCTTGTCGATAATACTACCACAAAGGCGACACTTGCATTCCGAAATGGCCGAAAACAAAGCGGATTTCGGGTAAATCATCTTTGGAGTTTCCTTTCGCTGTGCCATAGCTTGAGAGCTAGTGAATACTGTACTTTGACTTTGTATAAGTGTGCATTCGACCTTTGTTTTCTTTGCGTTGATAAATAATGGCTCCACTTCAAGGTGTAAAACAGACCTCCAGCCATGCAAATTATATCAAGTAGGTGTAAAAAGCTTTCAAGCGCTAACATATTTCATAAAAGATAACACAAAAACCGACAAAACCCAAAATATGGGTTAATACAGAGCGTAAATGGCAGTATTTTCCATAGGCATAGTTATAGATATTTTCGTTTTCGCTCTTGAATTCCCCCTACCACTCCTCCCTAAGTGGCAAAGAGGCGGCAATTCAAATTACCCCTAAAATCTGGGGGTTCACGTGACCAGAGGGAACCAGGGTCTTCGCCGGAGCCCGAGTGCAGGTAAAAGATCCTGGCTTGCAAGGTTGGACCTAATGTATTTAATTTTTAATTTTAACATTGAAACCATTATGGTCGACACAAATTGGCTTCTCACCTTGAGTTGTATTCGAGTTTGCTTCCTTGTTTATATCATTGATTCCTAAATGTTGACGGCGTTATTCGACAACACTCATTGCATAATTATCGGTCCACTAAAGTCGGGGCATTCATAATACGACAAACTTTAAGAGTTTCATCCCTTGTCACGTATTTATATTGTTGCCACCTCCTATTTCAAATCCCGGGCGTATCCTGCGAACGAGCTATCAGGTTCGAAAGGCGTACCCTGGTTCCAGAGGTTTATTTTTATTATTTTCATTGCGAAGGGGAGAGGAAAAATAAACCTCTGGTTGAAAGTGGCAATTGATTCATCGAGCTGCGCCAATCAGTTTGAATTAGGGTCAGATCCTGACTCTGTCTGCTGATTGGATGATTGTATTAAAGCTCTCTGATTGGTTATAGATGTTTTATTTGAATCAATCAGAGAGCTTTAATACAATCATCCAATCAGGAGACAGAGTCGGGATCTGACCCTAATTCAAACTGATTGGCGCGGCTCGATGAAACAATTGCCACTTTCAACCAGAGGTTTATTTTAAACCTCTGGAACCAGGGAACGAAAGGCGGTGCTTTTATATAAGCTAATATTTCTTAAATAAATAACATGAAAAACATACAAATACAAATCAACTTATATGTTGTTATTATATGTTCGACTATAGGAGTATTATTATATGACATATTAACTTTTATTATACTGGTAACGCATAACTTGGTAGCCGCAAAGGTAATACAAAACAAAATATAGTAAATTATAATATAGTCATTCACCGTATATGAGCTGTTCTGCAATCTGATTGGTTGAATTACTCGCCATATATCTTGTTATATAGCTAGTGTGAACACCAAACATGATTGGCTGATTTGTAGTCATGTGGCTTTAGATAAATGCAATGTATCCTGCCCGAGCAATAAGTGAAAAATTGTTGCCCGCCCCGACCGGCTACGTACATAAATAAACAAAATGGCGGCACAAATTTATACTATTTAAACTACTGTTTTCGTGACTATTTAAACTACTGTTGTCGATGAAGGACATTGCATTATCAAATGGTTAGTCGATTATAATAATTATTGTATTTTTACAAGCAATTTACAATTCCCAGTGCATTCATATACTGTAAACCATATCTGATATCTTAATAGTGAATCATATCTTATCTCCAGCCTACTGCACAAATTCCCTCCAGCTTTCTGATTACATTACGATATATTTGTTTTGTTTTGTGGAAAGACAACATCTTTATTTGGTCTGGAATTTGTTTAGCAAAGCTTTCTATGAATTATAGAATACCCTGCAGTGCCTGCACTTTGTTTCCTGATCCACATCACTGCAGTCCCTAGTATTAAACCTAACCCAAATTTGTGGGTTATTCTAGATTTTTTATAGCCAAGCATAATGATAAGCAACTAGCATGTTCATTAGTGCAAATGATATTATATAGCAAGTGTCAAAGTTCAATTTTCCTGTTTGCCCATTGGAGAAAACCGTATCACGTGCCGGTCCACAACACGTCATGTTCACTGCATGCTTTGGCAAGGAGGCAACCGGTCCAATCTCGAACAATTATTGACCGGTCAATAATAAAACCGGAAGTGAGGTGTGAGCGGCTCGCATCAACCAGCAAGTTCAAAGCAAGGTTCTTTCAGGAGTTTCTGCATGTCTGCCGGACAGTTTTATTACAGATTCTGAATACCAGGTGAATTATTGAGACTTTGACATTTGCTATATAATCAAAGTGTTATTTTCTGCCGGCTGAGGAACGAAAGAGGCAGAAAATGTTTTCTCACACACTGCTGGGGGACAGGGTCAAAGGTGGAGTCCAGGTCACTGGAATCACTTTTTTGCTTGCCTCGTGGTAGCCTGACCTGTGTCCAACCCACCCACCCTATTGGCAGGAAGAGCCTGGTTGATATTTGTTGCGATCCTTGTTTGTAAGTATGAGATATTTTTGTTAAAGGTCAGGCTTGAGTGTGCAGCATCCCTCAGCGGTGTGTGAGAACACTTATTTACTGAGACCTCGGGAAAACAGCATGTTTTGTGACCCCTCCACAATGGCGGTCTCAGGGCCCACAAAACACACTGTTTCTCTCAGTCTCAGTAAATAAGTGATAAGTATTGGACTCATCAAGATTCAAAATCGCAAGCTTTGCCAACATTGCATTTTCCCACAAAACAAAACTATTATATTTTTTGTGACACAGACTTACAGTAAAAGGAGATTTAGATGAAAAATATTGCCTTGGCTTGCATAAAGTGAAAATGACACAATACTCTGTACTACATAATTAAAATAAAATAACTGAAAGGAAGTCAGCATTTAAGAGGTGATAATTTTAATCTTAAATGATCTCATAATAACATCAGAAAAGTGTAGTTTAACTTTACAAAGTAGTTGTTTTAGTAAATTTTGCAACTAAAATTTTATCCTTACATATCTAATTAGGGGTTATGGATCTGAACTAGAGGATGCATTCCGAAAAGACTATTCGCGTCTTGCTGAATTAAGATCAATATTGAAAAGGAATACACCTTTTATTGTTCTGACCGCAACAGCAACACAATCTACGAGGAGTTTAATTATGAAGGAGTTGGCAATGAAGGATTGTGTTCAACTAGCGACAATTCCAAACAAGCAGAACATTAAGTTCTCTGTTGCAACAGTCAACCCTGATAATCTGTTAAACTCATTTCATTGGCTTATTGATGAGCTGAAAACGAAAAAGGAAAATACACAAAAGGTATTGGTACTTTGTTGAAAAAACTCACGTAAGAGACCTATATGAGGTATTTCATGAAGCACTTGGGTCTGAAAGTTATGTTTTGCCCACTGGACAAGAGCCAAAGGATGATCGAACTAGATTGTTCGCAATGTACCACAGGAAAACACACCATTCAGTTAAAAATGTTGTTGAGGGGAATTCAGCAAGGTTGATGGTACAGTATGTGTAGTATTTTGTACAATAGCTTTTGGTATGGGTGTGGATGTACAGGGCGCTTATCTTGCAATACATTTACGACCATCCAGTACAATTGATGATTATATTCAAGAATATGGTCGTGTTGGTCGAAGTAATGAAATCATGAGTCATGCTGTACTGCTTAAGTATTCAGGGTGTACAAAAAGTAAGAATATTGAAAAGGCAATGAAGAACTACCTAAATAATACTGAAATTTGCAGGAGGTCATTACTGATGAAACTGTTCTTGAATAGGAGTGTATTAAGTACAGACCAAAATGAGCAATCATTGCTTGATACACATTTGTGCTGTGATGTGTGTGCTAAAAGCTGCAAGTGTTTGTGTTCATGTGAGAGTATGTGTTTATGCAATTTGACTTGCAACAGTGAAATGTACTACTCACCTTTTGAAAGATCAACCAGTACCATCAATAGTAAGCCAGTAGAGGTTAGCACTAACAGAGTTTTAATGGTTGATCACCCATTTAAGCAAGAAGTGGAAACAAATGTTAAAGCATAGGTAGCCCAAACACACTGTGCGATTTAAATTTAAATGCTTGGCATACTTAATTACCCCCTGCGATATCGATTTCAAAATAATAATGTTAACGATTAGCTTATAAGTATTCTGAATATTTACACTAAAATGTGTCACTAATCAATACTTATCGTTGATGGAAATATACTTAGGTACATAGCATACATCAGCAAAAATAAATAGTTTATACCTTTAGTAGAAGCACTTGAAATCCAGCTTTAAAATCAACTGACATTAACGGCGACACGGCGGAGGAGGGGAAAGGAGACAAGGTTGGCAACATCCATTGGCCAAGCTGCATGTATCATCATAAACAAACCCGTCTAACTCAACAATACGGAAAGCTTAGCCGAAAATTCTACAACAGCTGCTAAAACAGCTATTTTGCTTTCCAACAATGTAGTCCTTTCAAAATTTGAAAGTTTCCCTTTGCAGAAATTTCACTTCAAACCACTGCCTCCACACAAAATTTACGATGTGACTAGGCGCAAGGTAAACAAGGTTCACGAACGGTAAATTTTAAATTTAAATCTCGCGCCTAATTGGATAAGCGTAATTGACTTTACTAGACGTCACTTGATTATCCAATTAGGCGCGAGATTTAAATTTAAAATTTACCGTTCATGAACCTTGTTTACCTTGCGCGTAGTCACATCGTAAATTTTGTGTGGATGCCGTGGTTTTAAGTGAAATTTCTGCAAAGGGAAACTTTCAAATTTTGAAAGGACTACATTGTTGGAAAGCAAAATAGCTGTTTTATCAGCTGTTTTATAAGCTTTCCGTATTGTTGAGTTAGACGGGTTTGTTTATGATGATACGTGCAGCTTGGCCAATGGATGTCGCCAACCTTGTCTCCTTTTCCCTCCTCCGCCGCGTCGCCGTTAATGTCAGTTGATTTTAAAGCTGGATTTCAAGTGCTTCTACTAAAGGTATAAACTATTTATTTTTGCTGATGTATGCTATGTACCTTAGGGGTCGTTCAGACTGAGTGCCCGGCACTAGTGCCCGGGTACGGCACTTGTTTGAGCACCAGTGTGATCGCGATACTCGCAAAAGAATTCGGGCACGGTGCCCGAAAACGGGCACTACCTCCAGGGGTAGTACTCAACAACGGCACCGTGCCCAACATGAACAACATGGCGGCTGGTTCAGGGAGCAGATGGACAGAAGCAGAAACAAAATCATTATTGGATGCGTATGGAGAACAAATAATTCAAGAAGCTATCGATGGAATGGCAACTAACAAGGTTGTTTACGATGAAATTAGCAGGATACTAAAAGAGCACTCAAATATCGACAGAACAACGTCCCAAATAGAAACGAAAATTAAGAAATTGAGAAGTGGTTACAGCAAGTTAAAAGATCGTATGAAACAGTCTGGATCTGAGAGGCCGTACTTTTCGAGTGCTCTATCAAGTGTAGAAAAAACTGCTTTAAAAGTTTGGGAGCAATTGGATAGGATTGATGAATAATTGTTCAAATAAAACTTAAATAAATTTAATGCCAAATGCTGCTCATTTTCTACATGTTTGCATGATAACTTTAGGACAGAAAAGGGAAAGAGGTTATTTCGCTGGCCTCAGAGTGACAAAACGTAAGAAAGCAACGGTTTTACTAACACTAACCCTATTCCAAACACAAACTCTAACCCTATATAAACCCTAATCCAAATCCTTGACCTAACCTTAACCTAACCCTACTCCAAGTTTGTTTCTAAACCAATCTTGAAGAAAAAATTTTTGACGAAATATCATTCTGAATTTAGCGAAATAATTTCTTCCCAGAAAAGGTTGGGTCAATCAATTTGAAAGTTCAGTAAAATTTGAAAATTTCACAACCAATCTAGAGTTTGTGATGTATTGTGTAAAGTTTGGCACAGTTTGTATAGATCGTTTAATTAAAGTAGTTAATAAAGCACAAATTCAGAGTAAACATTTTAAAGTCAAATTCTCAGAAATGGCACAAAGCTTGGTTTTCACATGTCGTAATTCATTGACAATGTTTCCATTGATGATCACTAAATATTAAATTAATTTCTTTCCGACAGACAAAGCATTTTATGCACCAATGACCAAAAAAGTTCTTTTGTTTATAATTAATAACAGGTCCTCGACCAGTGAATAATCCTCCTGAAGAACAGTTGTTTGAAAGTGGAACACAGCAAGTAGAGCAGTGTGATGTTGATGCAGCATTAGATATGTCAGAAGACGAGCAATCTGACAGTGCTAGTAACCCACAAAAACGAGAGAAAAAACTTGTAAGAGCATCTCGCAGCAAGAAAGCACGTCTTTCTGATGTAATCGAAAAGTCAAATGAACAGATGGGAAACATAACCAATTTGATTGCAAGTAGCATTGTGTCACCAGAGGCGAGAGAGAAAGAAAGGAAGGAAGACAGGGAATTCTTTGGTCAGATGTTCAGTATGTTATCTCAAACCATGATTGGGATATCCCAAATGCATCAAAATAATCCTCATCAGTATTTCCCACATTCACAACAACCATTTCAACCACCTGCATTCTTTGGGATAAATCATAGTGAAACACTTGGAGCTTCACATGATACAGTTTCATGTTCAGAAAAAAATAACAACTAAATTAGCAATTACTGTACCCACTAGTAAAAAACTTTTATATTAACTATTTTGTTATAGTATCTTAAATTTGTTGAGATTGAAGTAAGTGCATACAATCTCAAAGACAGTATTTTATGAACAAGTATATGTACAATGTTGTTGTTATGATAATGTTTCTTTACCTTCATGTACACCATGGAAATGTTATTTTTATTTAAGGACATGATTACAATTGATTGTTATCAAAACAGTTTTAAATTGTAAAACAGTTTTTATTAAGTAGTAGTATTGTTTTTGATTACATGTCAGTAATGGTGACAAAGTTAGGTTTGTTTTGTAAATCAGTTGCTAATTGTGTGAAACATATTCAGTGAGTAATCGCCGTGTTTCCTCTGCTTCTTGTCCTGCTATTGTCTGTTCGTCTTGATTCAGGAATGGGAAATTTCCCTCTAACTCATTACCAGTGACAATGTCCCATTCTTCCAAATATTCAGCATCTCCCTCCTCACATATATTGTGTGTAATATGCATGAAGCAATTACATGGTGGGCAGCATTTTCTAGAGTGCACTCTAATTGTTTAAAAAGGCATCTCCATCTGCCTTTTAGTTTTCCGAAAGCTCTTTCAATTTGGATACGTGCCCTGTTTAATCTGTAGTTAAAATACTCTTTTTCAGGTGATAGATTAGAACCTGGATAGTCCTTCATAAGGTGTTTAGAGAGGGGATAGGCTGGGTCACCAATAAGAAATGGTTCTATTACTTTCCCATTAATGATTTTTGACAATTCTTGTTCTTCTGGTACCAACGTTCCGTTTGTTACCATTCCACCAATTTTTGATACATTGAATACTCTTGCATCATGTGCCCTCCCTGGCCATCCAGCAAAAACATCAGTGAAACGACACTCACTATCACACACAGCTTGCACTATTATTGAGTGAAAGCACTTTCTATTAAAATAATCAGTATGACAATGTTCTGGTGCTTTAATTGGAATGTGTGTGCCATCAATAGCACCCAAACATTGTGGTAAATTCCATTTCTCTAGAAAGCCACCAATAATTGCAGCCAAATTCCTACGCTCTTGAAGTCGACTGATTGTGTGTAGTTTATTTTTTATAAGAAATAGCATAGCATCGTTTACTTTTTCATTGGCAGTTGATGCACCAACTCCGAACTTATCGCCAATCTCTCGATAGTCTAAACCTTTACCTAGTCTTTTTAAAACCATTGCAGTGATGACTTGTACAGGTACAGGTTTTCGCATTTGCGTGGTTTTACCACATAAACTGTTGAAAAAGGTACAAAGTTGAGAGAAGATTGTCTTGGGAACTCTATAACTTTCAAGCCACTTTCTGTCGTTAAAATGCCTGTATTCATTCTCTACAATTCCCTGTATCCTTGAAAATGACCATACTGTCCTTTCGTATGAATTTCTCATTGCAATCAACCTGAATATATTGTTGTTATGTGCAACGCACATCATCATCAGTTGATTTAAACATTCTTGTTGTACACCAGGTGACCTCTCAGATCCATAATAATAATTTAACAAGAATATGAATCCAGAAAAAAACACAAAATTGTGAGAGAAAAACACATTGCATGCACATTTTTATGCCTTACGGTTTTTCGCGCACAAAAGAAACTATTTCCCGCCAAATATTATACTAGGCTTTGGGAACCAGTCTGAACATCCTGTTTTACCGTGCCCGGTGCCCGGGCACTAGTGCCGGGCACCCAGTCTGAACGACCCCTAAGTATATTTCCATCAACGATAAGTATTGATTAGTGACACATTTTAGTGTAAAAATTCAGAATACTTATAAGCTAATCGTTAACATTATTATTTTTAAATCGATATCGCAGGGGGTAATTAAGAGGCAGTCTCTGTAAGAACCTCATGACCTCTTTGGATCAAGAAATAGATTTCTCTCAAACTTGGTATTTGAGATTGCCTTTATAAGGGTTGCTTCAAAGTGCATCTTGTTTTCAGTCTAACTGCATTTTGGCAAAGTTCCAGGGGGGTCAAGTTGAGGGCTAAAATTATGATTTTTACTGTTTCTCAATAGTGGATTTTTACTGATTTTGAAAGCTCTCTACATCAAACAAAAATAATGGTAAAACTAAATCCTTCCACACAATAGTAGCTTTATATGTCTTAAGTAAAAATATATCTACAAATTTTTCAAATATGTTTTCTAAATATAGAAATGACATCATTCATGACAGACTAAAATAGAGATTTCCAAGTTCCTGAAAAATTGTTGAAATAAAACCCCTAAAATTCAAAAGTTAGACTTGCCATGAATGTAATATTATTTGTATGGTGAGATTAAAGGTTGGTCTTACATAATGTAAAATTAAATATTGCGGCCTGTAAATTCTGGGGGTACTACAGGCCAACAAATAATCAACATTTTCGACTTTCGGTAGTTTAGATCAAATAAGAATGTTCACCGTTTACTGTAAACTCTGCTTTCAAAGACCGAGATTTTACTTATTATTTTGACCTAGAACAGTGATAACATTCGTTTGACCTTTGTTGTTGTCTAAAGTCTTTTAGGGAAATGCACTGACACAGGCATTTCCCGTTATGTATGGACCGTATTGTATAAATAATAAAAATTTTCTAGCTGAATATAAACAAAACAAGTTATAAATTTGCAACAGGTAAAGATGTCCGTTAGTCAACAAATTATCGAACATCGATTTACTTTGAAGATTTATTAGTTTTATGTTTTAAAAGTCAAGAGAAAAGTACTCCAATATTAAATTAACTAATACAAGGATATGCCTCGAACGACAGCCTTGTCATTGAATGA